GCAGCAGTCTCAAACAAAGCCGACTCCACGCCTCTGCTCACCTTGGGCTCAAAGTAAAAAGGACGTTTCGGTTCGAGCTGCCTTTTGCCAATCCACTGCGCCACGTCGGTGGTGGGGGGAGATTTGCGCAACCGTACTTCACCACGCCGAGCAGGGGAACGGTTGGCAAAGGACCGGTTTGGAGATCGACCAACCACCGAATCGAGTTCCTGTCGCGGGGGTTTGCAGCACAGTGTGCGAACCACCGCACCACCACTCCCATCCTTGAACAGATTTTCACACGTGCAGTGGCGGTCCCCTCCGCCCCCCCCCCCCCCCTCCCTCCCCCCCCCAGTCGAGTGGCGGAAATTCCACATTCCTGTTACGGGGACCAGTTGCTCTACCGGACAGCCACCGTTGACGCTTTACACCGAGCTAGTACTCATCGACATTGGGGAGATGGGATATTTTTTGTTTTATCCTTATTTGAATGATGCTGCTTTTTTCCTCCAGCAGTCTCACCTCTGTTGTCATCTGCACAGGAAGAGCCTCCTGCACCCGAGGAATTGCTCCTCGAGTTCCAAGTGGCATGATTGACAATGCTAACAAAGCATCAATAGGAGTATTACTAATGACGATGATGATGAAGGTTCAATCATTCAACCAAGCAATCACTCATTACAGTTTTTTTCTTGTCCACTCTCCAGGTCAGGCCATGACCTCTCGAAAAAAATAAGTGCATTTTGGGAAGGATAAAAAAAAATCTAAATGTCTGGAGCATCGCTCATCTTAATGGACGACGATCACGATTGTGCTATCACAGGATCGTGTTAAAAAAATATAATTTTATCCTTCTCCATGGCTCTTGCTCCCGATTGCCTCTACGATCGTATCTCCTCCACGTTATCTCCTCTTTCTCACAAAGCTCAGCTTTCGTTGCATGGAAGGTTACTCGTACCTGCCTTCATGTATGTCCCCTGTATGGTAATAATAATGATCTCTATTTTATAAAGCAAGTTTCATCTTAGAGTATCTCAAAACGCTGTACATACAAAATAAAACTACACTGACATAGATAATCTAAATTACACAGAAAGCTGATAATAACAATATCAATGACTACTCCGGAAATTCAAATAAAATGAACTGTGATAAAAGCAAACAATAATACGAATTGCAGAGTCATCCAATCAGTCGACAAAATTTAGTGTGTTTTTTTATCGTAAGTTACAGGGAAAACCTGCAGTGCAAATAGCCGAGCTTCAAGACGGTGATTTTAAAAAAGTGACAAAGACTCAGAATCCCTAATGAACCGAGGAGGTGGATTCCACAATCGCGAAGCCCTGGCTGCAGAAGGCTCCGTTGTTGAAAATCTTTCGCGCCGTACGTGGCCAACCGTGCTATGCGGATGTGCGGGGGAGAAGATTGACAAACTAAAAACCACTCGGCATGGGCCGTCTGGAATTTCTCTTCCACTTCAACCCCCGTCGGTGCAGTTGAGACCCCTTGCACTGCGGTTCGAGCCGGGACCTAACAAACTCGTTTGTTTGCCTGCGCATTTGGCTAGAAAGTTTTTTTCTTGTACGCTTTACACTTACGCTTCTACTGCCATCCCTTTGTTTAGACCCAATGGTTTGAACGCTTTTAACGCTTCCTGTGCGGCTGCATTTGCAGCGACGACGTCGTCATCGTGCACGTCGTCATCGTGCACGTCGTCATCGTGCACGTCGTCATCGTGCACGTCATCGTAGTGCACGTCGTCGACGTGCACGTCGTCGTCGTGCACGTCGTCATCATGGACGTCATCGTGCACGTCGTCGTCGTGTACGTTGTCGTAGTGCACGTCGTCATCGTGCACGTCGTCATCATGGACGTCGTCATCGTGCACGACGTCATCGTGCACGTCGTCATCGTGCACGTCGTCATCGTGCACGTCGTCGTCGTGCACGTCGTCATCGTGCACGTCGTCATCATGGACGTCGTCATCGTGCACGACGTCATCGTGCACGTCGTCATCGTGCACGTCGTCGTCGTGCACGTCGTCATCGTGCACGTCGTCATCGTGGACGTCGTCATCATGGACGTCGTCATCGTGCACGTCGTCATCGTGGACGTCGTCATCATGGACGTCGTCATCGTGCACGACGTCATCGTGCACGTCGTCGTCGTGCACGTCGTCAGTGCACGTCGTCGTAGTGCACGTCGTCATCATGGACGTCATCGTGCACGTCGTCGTCGTGGACGTTGACGTAGTGCACGTCGTCATAGTGCACGACGTCATCGTGCACGTCGTCATCGTGCACGTCGTCATCGTGCACGTCGTCATCGTGGACGTCGTCATCGTGGACGTCATTGGCGGCTCCTCATTAGTAGGGATGCTAAAATCACGCGGCTGGACGTCTCGAAGGGAGCCGCACAATTTGCAAGCAGAGTACAAATCGTGATGAGCGCTGGATACTGAGCAGCCGTCATCGGATGCCATTAGCATGAATGACGCGATACAAAATGAAAGCAGTATTATTATCTTCTCAGCAGCGGGCAGTGCACCACACCGTGACCTGACCAAGAGTTGAGATCGCGTCCTTACGATTATTATTGCTAGTTGAGCAACCTAAACCATCGAGCAGCCCGTCCAGATTACGAAACGTGCATATTTGTTGTGTGGGTGTCGCTGGACCTCTAGGAATGCTGTGGTGACAAGAGGCGTGTGATAAATTAAAGTTATGATGGCGATGAAGGCAAATGACGACGACGATGGTACGACATTCTTAATGGTGTCGACTGCATTAAGGGTTCTGGGGCTTGGCCGTGTGATATGGGGATTGCGGAAACCAAAAGCTGGCACAGTGGTGGTGTGGTGGGGAGCGGTGGCGCAGCGGTTAACACGCCGCGCTTCGAACCCGGCGACCCGAGGTTCAATTCCCACTCGCGGCCAAAGACCAGCGACTATTATCTGTACCGGTCCTGGGCCTCCCCTAGGTCGACTCGGCCTCAAAGAGTACCCGGTGCGGTGTGTAAACATCACCACAGGGGAGACAAAGGCGGCCGGGCGTGGCGCTGGCCACCCACCCCCTCGTGTGACGTGCCGGCCTTCATGGGTGCAACGCGCTAACAGCCACTTGCCCCAGCAGTCTGTTGTGTCAAAATATCGAACCGTATCACCACCGCCACACGCAACCTGGGTCACATTCGTGGCCACGCAACATGAAAAGGCATCTTGCTGTCCGTAAACAGACACTCCCCGCACGCACGCATTTCTATAAATACGGCCGGGTGTCTCAGGGACAGAGCGAGCGGCTCGCAACTTGGAAGGTCGCCAGTTCACATCCTGGTTGGGGTTTTTTTGCCTCTGCCCATCATCCCTCCTGGGGTCAATAACAACAGAGCGGTTTGTCCTGTGGATCGACTATCCCCTGCCACAGCAACGTGGAATGCCCACCACTGACTCGGAGCAAGTACATACGAGATGAGCACTGTCTCTCAACTGGAGATCTGTGAAAAAGAGCCTGATAGCTCATCGGATTCCGCCAGTATGAATGAATATTCTGACTCTCTCAATTCTGATCTCAACGCACGCTTCATTTGACCACCGCCTGAAATCTGGGTCACAATACTGGGTCGCGCGTAACAAATGAATACAGGGTAAATGTAAATTGAAACTGCGCGCGCATCTCTATAAGCTGGCTAGACCACCCTTTGGCAAGGGGGAGATGGGGTCATGATATAAAATAAAGTCCACGATAATAGCGTCGCCCATTTTGGCTTAACAACGTGATTATCGTTGGTCCCTTTTTTTTTAAACATCACTTTCTGACAATATATTGACGAACTAACCCGAAGCAATGAATGCTGTTCAACACCAATAGCGGTTGCCCATTGAGAATTGGTGCTTTACTAAATGCTCTACGGATGGAGTAATTGACGGGCATGGTTGTTCGACCGCATCGTTGTTTTTTTTGTAGCGGAGTTTAATATTTCCCGCTCGGTTCCTGACAGCGCGCGCGTTCCAGGCGTTCCAGTGTGTAAAGCTGCAAATGATTAGAAGGCACGTGGCTGGGCTTAGAGGTTGAGTGACCGTCGGTTGAAAACTTTTCACGTAAATCTCTCTTCGTTAATGGCAGCACAGATAAAGCGCAAAAAAAATAATCACACGTGCAGTTCAATTAAGCGGCTATGGGGAACCGATTGTGCGATAATCGTCACATTTTTCTTAGTTTTTTCGGTAAAGTCACGTTGAAGAGAAACAACAAAATAATAAAATATATATAAAACAATAAAAAATTCTCACGACGTTTCGACCATAACTCAAACGGTCACCTGAAGACGACCGTTTGAGTTATGGTCGAAACGTCGTGAGAATTTTTTATTGTTTTATATATATTTTATTATTTTGTTGTTTCTCTTCAACGTGACTTTACCGAAAAAACTAAGAATATGAATTACTGCAGTCACGAAAGCTTTAAATCAAAATTTAATCGTCACATTGTTAAAATTCGTATCGTGCCGTGTACTGTCATGATTATTTTATCAGGGCGACGTTATTATTTCTTAGACGCGCGAACGGAAAATATGTCCAGGAACTGAACGCTAACGCCGAGGTCTGCTCTCGCCACGAGAGGGTTTCGCGAAAAAAAGTTCGTCCCGTTTTGCTATTTTTCCTCCACTGAAGGAGCGCACACGACAACGGTTAATTGTACGGTCCGTAGCTTGGGGGCTGCATGGCCACGATCGCACCACTGTGGCATGTCTTCAATGTAACTCTGCGAGTCTCTGTACCTCGACGGGTTTCTGTGCGTCTCCCGAGTCACTGTGGGTTTACCGCGTGGTCCACCAGTGTGGGTTGCGTGGCCGCGATCGCACTTCTGTGGCTTGTGCCCCTTTTAATGTCCACGTCGCGCGGGAGACACGCACGCCGGAGTGTCGGGCGTTCCGATGCAACGCCGTCGAGGCGGTCGAGATATCGCGGCCATCTTACCGGGTCAACGGTAAGATGGCCGCGATATCATTTTAAAAAAAGGTACCTTGTGTGTTGTGTTGACACCGGCAATGTTGTTGCTGTAGAAGGTGACAGCCCCACCACCACCCACTGCCACCACCACCGCCAGCAGCAGCGGCGGCAGCAGGGTCGGCCTTGACAGGTGCTCTCTGAACAACCGCACACATTCACCAACACAGCAACAACAACGTTCTTGACAAAGGAATCTCTGTCCGCGTTTTTTTTGTTTAAAAAGGCACAGCAGGAGGCTTCGCTCGGACAGAAATTTCTCGAGCACGGCTTACCCACTTGCGAGCGAGGGGAGAAACACAATAGCGGAGGATGGGGGGCTCGCATCGATAACCGCGGCTTCACTCCCGCCTCCATGGAAGTCTTCCTATCGTTTAACTTTAAGCCCGTGTGAACAGTACTTGCAAAGAACCACTCTGTCAATCCACGGGTGGACAAGGGGCGTCACCGCGCCTATGCGGATCGCGAAGGTTACATGGCCATACTTCGCCGCTCGGCGCGGATTGGGAAAGGCTGGGAGGGGGGACTGCTGAGCAAGAGTGGTTTTTGTTGTACTGCTTGCTGTTGCCCACAGTGCCTACTTGCGCGTACCCATCGTTCGCGCGTAGCGTGCACCCATCCAGTCACTGTCCAGGCTCAAACCCCCGCTTAGCTTCCCGAGGCCCGACGCCGTCGGGGGAGAGCGTTTCTGGTGATTTGGTCAGAGGAAAGCTAACGGGGCCAACCGACGGCCAAACATCTTCTCAACCCACATGACCTTGGGTGACCCCTGCTGCTGCGCTGCCAGCAGTGCCCAAAAGACGAATGACAAAAAACGAAAACTCAACACATCCGTGATTAACACCGTGGCCTTAGAATGCAAAAATTTCTAAATAAATTTTGATTTAAAGCTTTCGTGACTGCAGTAATTCATATTCTTAGTTTTTTCGGTAAAGTCACGTTGAAGAGAAACAACAAAATAACAAAATATATATAAAACAATAAAAAATTCTCACGACGTTTCGACCATAACTCAAACGGTCATCATCAGGTGTGTCGGTTTGCATAAATTTATTTTGAAAACGGCATATTTATTTATATATATAAAAATAACGTTTGCGTCACGCGCAACGATGGCAGTTTGCCAGGACTAGTCCATCTATTTTTTTTTTTTGAAAAGAGGAGGGGGGAGACGAAATTTGTTTTTATGTATGCTGTCTGAAAGGCACTGTAAGCGTGAACAATCAATCAAGAACTGAAATGATTTATCAAATCTTTCCAATGATTGCTAAGATAGAATCCATCTTCTCGGTTGAAATTGTCTCTGTGTTTGTATATGTGGATAGCCTGGAAGTCGAAATAGATGGCAAGATACCTTTTTTGGATGTCCTAATTAAAAAGAGACCTGATGGTTCAATGAGCCACTCTGTCTACAGGAAAGCTACCCATACGGATGCTTATCTGAAACCGGATTCCCACCACCATCCATCACAGAAGAATTCTCTCATCAAGACTCTGTATCATAGAGCCCAATGCATATCCGACCAGGAACACATAAGCAGTGAACTCAAGCACGTACACCAAGCTCTTAGGGCTAATGGTTACTCCGACTATACAATCCGCAAAGCTATCACTCAAACCATGAAGAAGAACCCTCTTGAGGAGCCTTTCAAAACCATCACTTTACCCTACATTGCTGGGATCACAAAAAAGATCTCCAAAATCTTGAATAAACACAAGATCCAGGTCCGTTTCAACACATTACATAAAATCCGTGATCTGGTTCCGTCTGTAAAAGATGTGATTCCGGACATACAATACCCTGGTGTCTACAAACTAAGTTGCCTCTGTGGTAGTAGTTACATTGGAGAAACCAAACGCCATATCTCGGACCGCATTCGTGAACATAAAGCAGACCTTAAACACGGTAGGACCAACACCTCGGCCGTAGCAGATCATTGTTCTAATTCAGTAGGCTCACATGCCATTGACTTTTCCAAGACGGAGGTTCTTTGTAAGCCATCTGGCTTCCATGAGAGATTCGTTCATGAGGCTATCCACATATACAAACACAGAGACAATTTCAACCGAGAAGATGGATTCTATCTTAGCAATCATTGGAAAGATTTGATAAATCATTTCAGTTCTTGATTGATTGTTCACGCTTACAGTGCCTTTCAGACAGCATACATAAAAACAAATTTCGTCTCCCCCCTCCTCTTTTCAAAAAAAATAGATGGACTAGTCCTGGCAAACTGCCATCGTTGCGCGTGACGCAAACGTTATTTTTATATATATAAATAAATATGCCGTTTTCAAAATAAATTTATGCAAACCGACACACCTGATGATGACCGTTTGAGTTATGGTCGAAACGTCGTGAGAATTTTTTATTGTTTTATATATATTTTGTTATTTTGTTGTTTCTCTTCAACGTGACTTTACCGAAAAAACTAAGAATATAATTTCTAAATAGTCGACGACGTTTTCAGACAATAATAATAATACATTTTATTTGTGAGCGCTTTTCTGAATACTCAAAGACACTTTACATAAAATCATAAAAGCAGCAAAAACAACATCAAATGGTAAAAACACTAAAAATACATCAAACTTAGCTAAGCATTAAAAGCAATTCAATGGCCCTTTCTTCGAAGCGCATAACAGCGCGTCAAATCAATCACAAGAATAATAATAACAGAACATAATTTCAACCGGGCCGATTCCCGCACACTCATCCAAACCGCGTATAGAAAAAAATATATATACACATTTTTTCAACAGTTGCTATTTCCGAGAGAGAAAAATTTATTAAATATATACACAAGATATATAGCCGTCACTGGGCTGTCGAAATGCAATAACCCGCTCGGGGAAAAACTCGAAGGGGTTTTAGTCGTGACGAGATTATTTTTTTTTACTCCAAATTCACGCGGCGACAGTCCCTCCCCTCCGTGACACGACCAAGCCCTCGTGGCCCAACTAAATAATGAAATAAAGAGGCACACAGTTGTCAAGGTGAACCCGCAGGGGGCTTGGGGTTGCCCCCCCCCCCCCCCTTGAGAACGTGGGTCGCCATCGAGTATAAAGAAAGTTCCAACGAGCGGCGCTTTTTACAACCAAATATTATCCCCACCGTTTAAGACCGGAGCAGGAGGATTTCTCCACAATTTCTCGCCGTCGCCTGATGATTCTGGTTGTTGTTGTTGTAATTGGCTGCGAAACGTCACAGTACTCGAATTGTAAATGTTGCAGTGGGTTTACTCTCCCAATACACCGGTGTGCTTAAGTGTTAACGAATTAGAATGTTCTGTTTACGTGACAAACCTTACTAATAAGCCGCGTCGGGTGGTGGCGGGTTTAACGACGCATTAATATTCACGCGATTTAAGCCAAAAAACATTATTATGGAGAACTGAAGGAATGTTACATACATCTCTATTGTTGAATTGCCTTCAAGTGGCACTCAGTTTTCCAACACGGGAAGAGACGATGCCGATGATGGCCTGAATTGACACTGGACCGAAATGTGTAACGACACCATCAATCAGTCGATTACAATATTATTGTTCATGCTCAAAATGTCCGCATCCGAATGAATCGTGTGTGTGTGTGTGTGTAAAAAAAATGATTTACCACGCACGCGAATGATACAGGAAAGAACGCGCCGAGGCTAATGGGAGCGAACCAAAAGTCACAAACGAGATAATTTTCGCACATGACCGCAGAAATTACACACGTGCCGAAAAATAGTAATGAATTTTGAAGATCAGATCGAGGCCGTGAATCGTGACAAATCACCAGGGTACCGTGGCAGGATGGGGGAGCTCATTGTTTGGTGCCACTCGCCTGTACAGCACAGGGGACGTACGTGCTCCCAGACTTTCGGTTGAACCCAAAAAATCCATAGAAACAGCCGAGAGACGCGAAATTTAAGACGACCCGATATATATGTAAAAAAAACAGATCCAAAACGGGAAAGGACATCACTGGTCTGACAGCACTTCCGTGTTTTTCCTGCAACAAATGGTGTCAAGTGACATCGGGTAAGGTCACTTTTGTGAGCGTGCAGACGCATCATAAGTAACGTATAGCGAAAGGTAAACGATCGTAGTCAGAGAAAGATCCAGAATTATTCACGAATATCCAAAAATGTGAAACGCATACGTGCATCCAAAAAACTCATCCCCGAGTAAAGCGGTACTTTCGATGATGAATCCTAAGCTCGCAAGATTAACTTACAGCCGATGCGAATGCCACCGGAATGGTGATCCCACCACTGCCAACACTGTGCATGGCATTGCGGGTGCCCTCTGCTACGCGAGAGAGTGAGAGATTTCACTTTTTGGACCCTGTTGACTTGTAGGAACACAGCCACCGCTGGGCCACCGTGGGACATTCCGATACGCGTACAGTTGTTTACAGGTTATCTTTGTTGGGCTCTTACGAGTCCGTGGAGTTTCCACTCAACCCTGAAAATGATCACGTGTTGCAGCAGCGCGTCTCTGGCAGCACGTGTCGTGGCCCCTACGCGTGTCGTTATTGTTCGTGCTGTTATTACGATTGTCCAAACCAGGAGAGCCCTCACCTGGCGCCCCAAGACTCTTTCCAGGTGAGTCCTGCCTCGTTTTCACAGGACACGACGATGCTGCCTGGCGAGTCGCCAATTTATTAATTTGCGGGGCGTTGATTTTTGTTGTTGTTGCGTTGGGATGTTGCGGCCAATACCAGTGACATTGTGTGCGTCACCATTTCTTTTGCAAAGGAAGGAGTCTGGAGAACCCAGAGGAAACCCAAGCAGAACAGGGGAGAGAGAACATACAAACTGCAGACAGAAAGGTGCCCGACATTGGGGAATTGAACCAAGCGCTGCAAAACGAATTCTACCAACTTGCAGCTTCCAATAAAAGGGAGCTCTTAGAGGATATTTCGCCTACTCTTCCACACTGGTGAGATGTGTTGGAAAAAGTGAGAGGTACCCAAACTTTACCCCCCACAAAACACAACCAGCCCATCAACTACTAATTTAAAACTCCTGGGTGCACAGAGGCAGGTCGGGGGCAGTTGATAAATGTGCCCCGCTCTTTTAACTGCCGCACACCAGGAAATGGAATCGAACTGGCTATATCTGTATTGCACGCCCAGGGTGCTAACCATTAACGCCACGGCAGTGATCAGGACAACGCAATCAACGCACAGGTACAACTAGAGGTTGTTTGCCGCTATTTAGCAGCGTGTTTACGGTGATAAGGGCCCTGTGTGGTTTATAGCGACTCAAGGTACAGAGACAGACACACACACATAGTGTGTATTGGATGGCGCTGGCAAAAACAGGGTTTTGTGTCGTATTTCGTGCAGCGTTATGGAATTAATGTTTTATTACAATTCAGCCATGCATGCGCATGTCTGGTTTTCAATCGGGCTTGAAAATATAGGACCCAAAGATTACTTAAAGACCCACATGCTAACGTAGATCTAATCGAATCATACAGAACCCATATATACGAACGCAGGACCCACAGACTTATACATTAACCCATAGACTACCATAGAACCCCCGAAACAACATAGGACCTACAGTGAGGGAAAAAAAGTATTTGATCCCCTGCTGATTTTGTACGTTTGCCCACTGACAAAGAAATTATAAGTCTATAATTTTAATCGTAGGTTTATTTGAACAGTGAGGGACAGAATGACAACAACAAAATCCAGAAAATCGCATGTCAAAAATGTTATAAATTGATTTGCATTTTAATGAGGGAAATAAGTATTTGACCCCTCTGCAAAACATGACTTAGTACTTGGTGGCAAAACCCTTGTTGGCAATCACAGAGGTCAGACGTTTCTTGTAGTTGGCCACCAGGTTTGGACACATCTCAGAGGGATTTTGTCCCACTCCTCTTTGCTGATCTTCTCCAAGTCATTAGGGTTTCGAGGCTGACGTTTGGCAACTCGAACCTTCAGCTCCCTCCACAGATTGTCTATGGGATTAAGGTCTGGAGACTGGCTAGGCCACTCCAGGACCTTAATGTGCTTCTTCTTGAGCCACTCCGTTGTTGCCTTGGCCGTGTGTTTTGAGTCATTGTCATGCTGGAATACCCATCCACGACCATTTTCAATGCCCTGGCTGAGGGAAGGAGGTTCTCACCCAATATTTGACGGTACATGGCCCCGTCCATCATCCCTTTGATGCGGTGAAGTTGTCCTGTCCCCTTAGCAGAAAAACACCCCCAAAGCATAATGTTTCCATCTCCATGTTTGACGGTGGGGATGGTGTTCTTGGGTCATAGGCAGCATTCCTCCTCCTCTAAACACGGCGAGTTGAGTTGATGCCAAAGAGCTCCATTTTGGTCTCATCTGACCACAACACTTTCACCCAGTTGTCCTCTGAATCATTCAGATGTTAATTGGAAAACTTCAGACGGGCATGTATATGTGCTTTCTTGAGCAGGGGGACCTTTCTGGTGCTGCAGGATTTCAGTCCTTCACGGCGTAGTGTGTTACCACCTGTTTTCTTGGTGACTATGGTCCCAGCTGCCTTGAGATCATTGATAAGATCCTCCAGTGTAGTTCTGGGCTGATTCCTCACCGTTCTCATAATCATTGCAACTCCACGAGGTGAGATCTAGCATGGAGCCCCAGGCCGAGGGAGATTGACAGTTCTTTTGTGTTTCTTTCATTTGCGAATAATCGCACCAACTGTTGTCACCTTCTCACCAAGCTGCTTGGCAATGGTCTTGTAGCCCATTCCAGCCTTGTGTAGGTCTACAATCTTGTCCCTGACATCCTTGGAGAGCTCTTTGGTCTTGGCCATGGTGGAGAGTTTGGAATCTGATTGATTGCTTCTGTGGACAGTTGTCTTTTATACAGGTAACAAGCTGAGATTAGGAGCACTCCCTTTAAGAGTGTGCTCCTAATCTCAGCTCATTACCTGTATAAAAGACACCTGGGAGCCAGAAATCTTTCTGATTGAGAGGGGGTCAAATAATAATTTCCCTCATTAAAATGCAAATCAAGTTATAACATTTTCGACATGCGTTTTTCGGAATTTTGTTGTTGTTATTCTGTCTCTCACCGTTCAAATAAACCACCCATTAAAATTATAGACTGATCATTTCTTTGTCAGTGGGCAAACATACAAAATCAGCAGGGGACCAAATACTTTTTTCCCTCACTGTATAGACTAACATAGGATTCACAGGTTAACACACGGCCAATAAATAGCTTTGCGCACGAGTAACAAGTGACCCACCACAATTACATAATACCCAAACACTTACAATGAATGGGCTCTAGGACCACAACTGTGCCCAGCTGCCTGCACAGAGATCTCGGACTGCGGCAAATCAGTGTAGTCTGACGTCTGAATGCTGTCCGGCGGCCGCAAAACGCCATGGAGGATAAGCAGCTGTGATTTATTATCACGATTGCCTATTGTCTCCACGCGAAAAGCTTATGGGGGCGCACGGGCGCAAGGTACGACGTGACTATATTGGCGCAACGCACACAGACCGCCTCCCGTTTAACGCTACAGATCACGGTGGCAAGTGCCGATTTGGCGAACGCCGGATTGAGGCTGGCACAGCACGGGCAGAAATGCACCGTCGGCTTTCCTCCCTGCCCAAGCACTCCGTCTCGCACAGCGGCTGTGTGGGCGCAAGCGCTGCAGAACGCACAGCAGCAGCAGCAACAACACGCGTGGTGGCTATGATAGGTGGCAGCTAACACTGCATTACCCCCCCCCCCCTCTCTCTCTACCCCCATGCTCTCTCACAAAGACACCGATCCAGCCTCCCGTCGTATTGCCTACAAAGACTGTTGGGGCCAAGGGGGTGGGGGTGGGTGGGGTGGGGGGTGGCCAGCACCACGCCCGACCACCTTTGTCTCCCCAATGTCGATGTTTGTACACACCGCACCAGGTACTCATCTTAAGGCTGGGTCAACCTAGCGGGTGGCCAGGACCGGTTCAGATAATCGTCACTGGTGGTGGCCGTGAGCCGGAATCGAACTCGGTTTCTCCGGGTTCGTAAATCCAAGCGGGCTAACCGCTACACCACCGCTCCCCCCACACCCGCCATTCGCCACTGAGTGACTGTGACGTCACCACAGCGCCTGTGCCAGGCTAGGTGCACTTTGAGGCCACGTGAAGCGTCGAAGGCTCGCTGAAAAAAGGTCTCGGAACAGACCCAGCAGGTGCCATGGGTCGGCTGTCCGAGATGACCGGTAGATGCACCACCAGCTGTAACCCCCCCTAACTGTGCCAACTTGCCCCACATTTATGCGCCCGGCGCTCCGCTCGTTGTTGTGAGCGTCGCTCCTCCGCCCTTCGTTGTTGCTGGAGGACGACTGCCTCCAACTGCCCAGCAGCAGCAGCACCAGCAGCAGCAGCGTCCTCCACGAGCCTCCTCCATAGGCCAACAAACACGCGAACCATGCAACGCTATTCCTGGCTCAACGACACAGACATCCCCTCCCCAGACGCGAAAACAGACGCGCACATTCACTGGAACCACGTCGCAAGCTCTTGGGATGACACACACACACTGGCGCTGCCCACACACGAACGACTCAGGGCTGACCCGTGCCAACGAAAGGAGCGGTAGAACGGACAAACAAGAAGGCCCCCACCAGTGATCCATAACCGAACCGTGCGCCCCGTGGCATCGCATGGAAGCGGAATTTACGAATGGCCCCAACATCTTAAAGGGTCGTGGGAACCTTCCCACTAGGGTCGACTCGGTGTCAAATGAGTACCCGATGCGGTGTGCAGTAAAACATCGCCACTGGGGAGACAAAGGCGGCCGGGCGTGGTGCTGGCCACCCACCCACCTCGTGCCGGCTTTCATAGAGGCGTTGCTCGCCCCAACACAGTCTGTGTTACTGGCCATGCCGGGGGATCTTTGTCTTTTTGTCATCGCTGGGAACAGCTCACAAATGACCACGTGCTGAACACGGCCACAGCCAACTCTGTCAATCCACTGCTGGATGAGTGTTCTGGATGCAACGAGGGCCTCTCCTCCCGCACCCGGATTAATTATTTTTGGGGTCTAGAGAAAATCTGGGAGCATAGAAGTGTAGTACAATGCAGCAATGGGGTGTGGACTGCACTGCCTTGCACCTCTCTCTGCTGTCGAACCCAATCCATTATCTAGGCTCGGACCCTGTTTCGCTATCGGTTGATTTGGCCACTAAGGGCAAGGACGTTAGGGAATGATGTTAGCGGCAGGGCGATATTGTATTGCGGTTAGATCTGTAATAAAGGACGAAGGTTTATGGGGTTTAAGGCGAAGGATAGCCTTCAAAGGTGGACGTTGTGTTTAAGTTAAGGGGGAGGGGGGGTAAGATGAATCGGGGCTTAAGGATTACAGCTAGCGGCTGGTTTGAAGGTTTAGCTCTGGTCCGGAGGATGTCGGAATCGGATTTTAAACAAAGAGATTGGGTTGGAGGGTAGGCTTGCAGTAGGTTGAGCAGTTGCGGGTTTGAGTTCGCCAAAGACTTTGGTGTGTAAGATTTTGGGCTTCAGTTATCACTCGGGAATAAGAAACTACCTAGCTTTTAAGTTAGGACCTACGCGTGCGGGTCAATGCGTGTATAGATTCGGCGATTGTGCTTACATGCGCAAAGACTGGATTATGAATGAATGATTAAAACTGTAGGTTAGACTTAACTTAGCCTTAATAGCTGTAAACACTTTAAGACGCACAATCTCTCACCTCCTGCGATGCAGCAGCTGCAGTCCGATGTCTCTCCAAGTCCGCCGGTTACAACGCGAAACGGTCGATATAAAACGCCAACAACGCCAGATCACCGGCGGCGGGTACCAATTTTTGTGAGGTTTTTTTTTTGTCAAACAAAAATAAAGCCCACGCTTAATTCCGCAGCTAAGACAAGTCTTTCATTAATGTAACAACGCACCCTTCACGTCACTAGGAGACACCTCCCCCCCCCCTCCACCACCACCAAACACAAGATCATAACGACCCCATGGCATTATCACGAGCCGGTGTTACGTGTATGCATATATACACACACGGCAGCCGTAGCGAACATTCGTGGAACTCGAGAATCGTTCAGGCTCCCGCTGATATATTTACACCGTACGGCCCTGGCCGAGACGCGCGCCCTACCGATGTGGAACGTGTTGGACGATCGGACCTCTTCTAAAAAGGCTTCTCTTCTAAAGTGCGTGCGCCCCACAATTTCAACAAAACCAACAACAGCGCGCGGCTTAAGCACGCGCCCCGCTCTGAGACCAACACCACCACCACCACGTGGGGGGGAGGGGCGGGGGGCGGGAACCAAGGAGCGGGGGGCGGGAACGTTGGAGCGTGACGTCACGCTAAGGGAGGAGGGGCGATCGTCTATGCAAATTAGAAAGGGGGAGGAGGCGGGAGCTTGCCCCTTAAAAGGAGCTGCCCGGATGTGACGTTAGGGCTATAAATAAAAGGACGCTGCACCGGGGGTGATGTCACACGGCCGTTGGCTGTGACGTCGACTGACGCGAGTGACGCACGGGGGCGCAAAACAGCGGCCATGTTGCCTAGGGACTAATCTGAATATTTAAAGTGGAGGAATCCGATGAGCTATAAAGCTCTTCTTCTTCCTCTCACTGATGTTTCAGTAGGGGCACGGGGTCAGAACGCTACAACAACAAGCAATACAAACAAAAAACACGACAGGAGTGCAAATTGTAGGAATTGTAAACAAATCGCTTTAAAAATGATTTCAAACAAAACGAAACAGTTTATTTAAAATCTTACCAGGTAAAGGCCACTGAGCTATTAACTTATTTTCAGAAGTTGGATAATATTATAGCCATTGCCCGAAACGTCCCCATTATAAAATATATTGTTTTTTTATTTTAAGTCCACAGTTAATTACGATTTTTTGGGGAATTTTGGTAATCTTGTTATTTGTGCATCACGACCAAAACAAAGTACTGTATCACCAAATAATTGGTTTACTTACATGGAGTAAACGGGGCTAGACAGGAACTCAATTAAATTATCTACACTGGTGGAAATTCCACATTCCCATTACGTTATCAGTTTATCCACAACATGGCCACTGTTAAACCCACCGAAATAAAATGCAGCAGGCAAGAATAAAACACTACGTTGATTTAAAGCTTTCGTGACTGCAGGGATTCATATTCTTGGTTCTTTCGTTAAAGTCACGTAGAAGGGAAACAATAACATAATAAAAAAATAAAACAATAAAATTCTCACGACAGCAAGAACATTTTCTTGCTGTGGTTTTCACACCTGATGATGATTTCTTGTGTTGCAGTCGAAACGTCGTGAGAATTTTATTGTTTTATATTTTTATAATTTTATTGTTTCCCTTCTACGTGACTTTACCGAAAGAACCAAGCATATACTACGTTGATATTTAAGTGGCAATTTTTATTTTAACTCTGTTCAACCCTTACAGAAGTCCCCACGTGTGAGGATTCAACAAAATCATTAAAAAACATATATTGATAACTGAACGTTACCTTAGTTTCAACACGAATTTAAAACATGTAAAAAAATCATTGGTATCCTTGAACATTTCATTTACCAACTCAGAAACACTCATTCATGGAATTGGCCAAATATTTCAGTGCAGGACTTTCTTGGATAAAAAAAAATAAGCCTCGAAACTCGTCGCTTTTCCGGGAAAAAAATTAGAGCATTACATTAATTTGGCCATTACAGGGATGTACCTGAAGACAAAATGAAGCTAAAACATGTCAAGGCCAGCCTTTGCCTCGCTCACAATCCATCAGCCATGATTTATCCACTGCTGAATTAAAGCCTCATCAAAGTCAGCATCTCACGGCCCTGCGATGAAACAGAGTTAAACTTTATCAAATCCGAATGGCGCCTCCTTCCCAATAGTTTCGTCAAAAAATGTTGGTACAAATATTCGTATAATTAAGCAAAAGACTTGGCGGCCTTTAATATACAAAGGACGAGAGCTAGAGCGTAATATATGAGAGGCAAAATAATATTGTATGGTGACTCTATTCTGTCCCATTTTTCAGTTTTAAAAGTTTGTTTAACATTGTGTTGTGCCAAATCCGAGTCACGCTCCAGGTTCGCTCCTTCCACGCTGGCAACTGTCCCCACTCAGTCACATCCATAGCCAAACAATTCCTGTTTTGCCCAGCCAAGTAACGCGACATGCGATAGAGGCACAATAAAATATTGATATGTTGTTATTACCACGTGTGTTTACCCAACAAGACCTCACCAGAAGAGCCGATCCTACTGCGTGTATAATCATCCCAATCGAGTAATATTCAGGTACATTTTCAGCATTCGGGTGCTTGGCCAATACCAGTTAATACAGTGAATGGGGTTTTTTTTCAGCTATGGGAAGAAACTGAAAGAAATGCCTGCAGAACAGTGGGAGAACATACAAACTCTGCAGAGAGTGAGTCGGGAATCGAACCCAGGTACTTCTTGCCACGAGGTATAATTGGCACCTCCGTGCCACCCTGCAGCCCATTTGAGAACCGAGGCTAAATGTTGGTGAGAGGGCACGGTTATATAATTTGTGTGGCTTTATTCCATTAAATCACATCACACGGCTTCTATTTCTGGAATCTGGCCAATCGTTTGATTAAAACAAACATAGACATCACACAAACCATTTACTTTTTAGAGAAAAAAAAGCGTTCATTATGAAATCAATACGTTCTCTAATCGTGCCCCTAAGACGAGTATTGGTCTGTGGTAATCTCTTTTTACAGGCATTAAGCAGTTTCAAAACAGTGCCTATTACCCTGCTGTGATATATGGATCGGAAGCATTGAAACCGACAAAGGCAATGAAATACAAGCTTTAGAGGTGAGACGGAAAGGTGAACACATGGATCGGGGAGAGAATGAACGTCTAGAGAAGTCAAGAATTCTGTAGTTCTACGTCGCATTCTTACAAAAAGGGTCCTTTCTTATTAGCATGTGATAGTTCATCAGCATTGGTTAAGTTAGCCTGACTTGATGAGACGATAAATGTCAAAACTGGTCCAGAGGTTGCTCGGATTGAACCAAAGCTGCTGATACGACGGGTTGTCTAAAACATATTTAAATAGTTAAAGCAGTGAGACATATACACGAAGGAGGGATGATGATAATGATGATGAAACAAGTGTGGAAATTCCACGTTGAAATGAAAAAGGCCACCGGATAATAACAGTTGCCAACCAAGTAGAGCATAATTAAGCAGTTTGTTCATTTTACTTACCCCAGAGGGCTGATGATAATGATGATGGCTTCTGCTGCTGATGATGACGCTGTTGCTGATGACGATAACCACGATGCCGAGAGGGATTTGAATTCACAAGCTCGTGATCAGCTGCCAAAGCTGCTCAACCAACTGAGTCGCATCTGGCAACACAGCATGTGATTTGAAAATGCTGTTATCACCTCGCAGAGGATTTTTTTCCCCCATTGGTTTAAAAATTAACAAAAGAGACAGAACGGTTTACTTGCTGTTCTTTCAAGACAACCCTGAGCTCCCACGAAGCCACACAAACAGTAATGGATTAACCACAGAGCCAACCGGATATTAAACATGCCAACCATTCCACAACCACGAAAATGACGTTCACATTTTTTCTGAGTAGCATATAAAAAACTGCGTTTTTTTTAATAACGTAGAAAAAACAATCCAATGTATTTATCGCCAATGTGGTATCTGCAGCGGAGGCATGGTGGTTAGTGAATTGCGCAGCGCAATGAACCCGGTGATCCGAGGTCAACTCTTGTAAAAATAAGTAAAAATATTTCATAAATATAACGTCACCGGCGATTGATATCTAAACCAGGTCTGGCCCACCAGCCACTTAGTTCATCCACCAATAGACACTGACCAGAGTGATGCTTGCTGCACTAACACATTGCCCTGCCAAATGGGTGTCGAAAAAACACAAAGATCCCCCCGTGTAGCCTTAACAGACTGTTGGGGCAAGTGCCGTTAGCGAGCAGCACCTATGAAGGCCGGCACGTCACACGAGGGGGTGGGTGGCCAGCACCACGCCCCGGGCCGTCTTTGTCTCCCCCAGTGGCGATGTTTACTACACACCGCACCAGGTACTCATTTGAGGCTGAGTCGATCTAGGGGGAAGGCACATGAGCACGAATCGAACCTCGGGTCGCCAGGTTCGCAGTGCAGCGCTAACCTGCTACACTATTTATTTCCACCGCGTGCTTTCAGAACGCCCCTTTAATGCAATTCTCTTTCTCTCCTTCGCTTGCTCGACCCCCTATCGTCCCTGGCGTTTCCTGCCGTGTATTTCCAAAGCCCTTTGTTGTTGTTGCGTTCCGGGTGATGAATCATGAATTCAAATCGTTGATGTTTGTTGTTGGTGGTGGTGATGGTGGTGGGTTGGTTGCAGCCCTCAACGTCACAGCCACAGACGGAACGACAGCTGCGATGCGTCACAGAGAGAAGTGCACAGTTAACTGTGTTGACGACAGCTGTATACCGTCTTAGAAATTATTGTTAAATATGGTATTGAGTTAATAAATTATCAATATATGTAGAATGTTCTCTTGTATTGTAATTCACCCGATGCGTAGATTTTACTTGATACGTCAAGTCAATTACAATGCAACAGAATATTGACCTCATAACAGCAAGTCAATAACAATAAAAAAAAATATGATATTACACACCAAGTCAATTGCAATGCTGTGCAAGAGAATAGTGCGTCAACGGGCTATACTTCATCTCCTAGTTAAATAATGAACACTACTACAAGTTTACTACGAACACAAATGCGCTCTGGAAAAGTTAACCAATAAAGTTTTTTTTCAATTAAATATTATATTTAGCATAGATATTTATATTTATTATTACTGTATATCATAGTTGCCGATGACTGTAATTGGACAAATAATTATCAACCGCGATTGAGCAAGACGAAGGCAACATTCACGAGTCAGATGAATAACCCAAAAGATGAGATCATGTAGTGGCGCTGTACCAGGACACAATGAATCCCAGCAACAAAATGAGTGATAAATTATATTTTGAAAAAAAAAATCATGTCCATTCACACCCATTGTTGGTTTCCCTGAGCAAAAAACATTATTGATCATTAAATTATTTCATGAGATTCGTTCTGTCCTGCCTCAGCGCTATTAGAGACTGCCCTGCGTAAATGGCCCAAAATTCAGGACATATTCGGGTTATGATATGTATTGTTCACACTGACTGTCGCTAACATTAATTAACTTAGTCATCTTTTTTTATAAGATTACAGGACTCATCTTTGAAAATTCATCAATTATGTTTCGTCTCAATTCATTCTACTGAAAA